TTTTTTTTTATATGTATATTATCATTTATTTAAATAGAACTTATTGGTTCAAATATATTTGATATAAATTTATATCATATAACATTACCACAAGCAATGATGAATTTATATGAACAAATATTAAATAATACTAAACTTGATGTACAATTTCTTATTGATAATAAAATAATAAATGTACATCGAAATATTTTATGTTGTCGTTGTTTATATTTTCGTACATTATTACTAAATGATTTTAATGAAAAATATCAAATAAAACCAATTGAATTAACTGATATTGATTATGAAACATTTATTGAATTATTATTTTTTATTTATAATGGTACATATCATAAAAATATAACATATGATATAGCTATTAAATGTATGCTTTATTCAAATAAAATAAATTTTTTAATAGGAAAAAATGCTGCATTAGAAAAAATTTGTTATTATTTATGTTTAGATCATAATTTAATTTTACCAATGTATTGTTCTATTAAACAATTCTCATCAGAATTTGATTTATTATTAGATTATATTTATGAATTATGTTCACAATATATGAATGAAATATGTCAACAAAAAGAATTTTCTAAACTTGATAAAGATTTATTAATTGATTTAATATATCAATCAACTCAACGACGTGAAATTCGTGAAAAAGAAAAAAAAATAATCAAATGAATGTTTTTAATTTTTTTTCTCCTTTTTTTTTGAATAAAATAAAAATACATATTTTTTTTTTGTTTCTCTTTTATTTTTATATAACTTTTATGGGACTTTTGCTTCTAGTATGACAACAAATATTTGCACAGTACCAGTTCGTGTTAGTAAAAATAATCGAGAAATTGATCCATCAGAAGATGAAAGACAAGGCATTGTACAAAATATAACCAAACAAGCATATTGGCATGTATCTTCATGTAAACCTGGTATGTATGTAAGCAAAGAAAAATAAAATATCTTTAGAATTTGAATAATAATAAACTTTTCGGGATTTGGTGGTGATATAAATAACTCCTTTGTAAATGGAAAAAAAAATTTTTTTTGACCTCCAGACTATTGGAGGAGGGTACGAGGATATGGAAAAATTTATTTTTGTAATGGACATGAGATATTTTTTAGAGTTTTCATGTATCAATCAAACTTAGATACTTGAAATAATAAAAATAATGGACCTCTTTCTTGCAACTCTATATCCGTACTCCTCTCCAAGAGTCTGGAGGCCGAAAATTTTTTTCCGTTTATAAAAAATTTATTTATATCAATTCATCAGGGATGTTGTGTTGATTATTGACATATAAAATTTTTTACTAATATCGTTGAATATTGTGGAAATGTTGTCAATATATCGGTTCTTTCATATAACCAAATAGGCTATTCTAGGGAACAATCTTGCAAGTTCACAATGAGTTCCTGTTATTCTGTGTGAAATATATAGCGTTTGACAGTGTGAAAGTTTCACGTTGATACTCATTTGTTCTATGGCACAGACTTGAACACACTAGAATATCAAGTAGTCGAGACATAACCTAGACCTAAGAAAAGAGAGCACTTTTAGAAATGAAGAAAGCAATAATACAAAGTATTGATTATAGAAAGCTGAAGAGCATCTATAACTGTATAGAGTTGAGTTTAAAAATAAAATTTATCTTAGAGATTATAACTAATGTCCATTTCAGAGATAAATGGCCGTGGGTATTTTTCGAATAACTTTTGATAGAAATGAGATAGAGACCTGTGGTTTTCACCGTTGGAAAGAGCAGATGAAAATGCATCGAACGATATATAGAAAGATTTTTCTAACGACTTTCCTGAAGGTTTTACATAAAACTTCAAGAAAAACAGCATACCTCTCATGATTGCGATATTAATTTATTGACTTTCAGGAGTGTGCTAGAACCGCAAAATGAAGAGCTACAAAAAACTATGGAAAGGCTCTATTCCTAACTACTACCAATACGATATTCTAGCCATTGGAGTGCAATTCACCACCCAGTTTCTCAACAAAATAGTCGAAAAATGGAGGTTTTTTGTGATATTTCGATAGAAAAATTACTTTTTTAACGCAGGAGAAAAACGCAATTCTTTGAAAACGTCTGACTAAAACCTTCAGGAAAGTCGTTAGAAAAATCTTTCTATATACGGTTCGATGCATTTTTATCTGCTCTTTCCAACGGTGAAAACCGCAGGTTTTTATCTCATTCCTATCAAAAGTTATTCGAAAAATACCCACGGCCATCTATCTCTGAAATGGACATTAGCATATGGATCTTCATAACATCAAAAACTGGATTTCGCATATACTTTTCGATGTGACGCGAATTGCTCTACAAAACCACATATATGATATTCTAATTCAAGATGAGTCATCAAATTTAGGAAGGTTCTTTAAATAATTTCATTCGAACTGCTTGTATATAAGTAAAATAAAGATTTGAAAGAATTTCTCAAAAAAATTAGAATTCGATCTACTATCTTAGGTGAATTATGTACGGTTGGTTCGACCAGAAAGGTTATAAAAATGACATTTTTCCAGTCAAAGAGTCAGACGATAGAATCATTGCTCCAGAATTGACACATAACTGATTTCTTAGATACATGATATTTTAATATCAATGTCGATTTCAAGATCTTAACTTGTTAGACTAAGAGATTCTCTTGCAGTTAAAAGAAAATTAAAGGTTGATTGAGTTTTTCGTCTTCGATCTACTACTGAACTAGCTCAACTGTTGAGAATACGAATGTATAGTTCGATAAAATTACTTTGTTTCACTAACATACATGGTAAGACCTATTCCTATTGAAATCCTTCAATTATTCGACATAAGATTTCTATCGTTAGATAAATATTAAAATAAGCTAAGAATTTATAATGATATAAATAATATAGAAAGTTCTTTTTCTTTTTTAATTTCAGGTCATGGTGTAGATAAATTACTCGATGATAATCTTGAAACATATTGGCAATCAGATGGTCCACAACCACATTTAGTCAATATACAATTTAAACAAAAAACAAAAATAAAAGATTTATGTATTTTTTCGGATTTTAAAGTTGATGAAAGTTATACACCTCAAAAGTATAATTATTTTCTTTTTTTTTTTGATTTTCTTAACTCTTAAATTTTCTTTTTTTTATCTCTTAGAATTTCAATTCGAACTGGTATTAATCATAATAATCTTGTTGAATTAAGATCTTTTGAAATTCATGAACCAGCTGGATGGGTTATTGTTCCAACACGTGATGCACGTGCAAATCCAATAAAAACATGGATGATTCAAATAGCAGTATTATCAAATCATCAAAGTGGTCGTGATACACATATTCGTCAAATAGTCGTACATAGTCCAACAGAAACATCATCAATATTTATTGATCCTAAATTTTCAAGCATTGAATTAGCATCACATAGTAGTTGCAGATAATTTGTCTTATTGATTATTTTGTGAAATTTATTTTTTTTTTTTTTTTTTTTGTTGATGTTATATATATATATAGTTTTCTTTTTGATATATCTTAAAAATAAAAATTTGTTTGTTCATTCTCTCATACATTAATTATTTATATATATATATACACTCGAAAAAAATAGTTAGAGTCCGTTTTTCGAAGATATTGTCACTATAAAACATATTTTTTTAATAATAATTACATATTCTGAAAGCCCGTGGGTGTGGGTAAGTGGTGTGGATGAATGATGTGGGCATGTGTATCGAAGAACAAGCTAGCTACACAGATCTACGCCCCCACCGGTATCCCACAGTCACATCCACAACCTAAACACGTCTTAACAACGCGTTATGGCTGGTTCTGTGTTCATCATTTTTTTCCATGGGTGCAATCGTTTTTTTTTATAGGGAGTACAAGAAAAAGCAACAATAATAAGAAACTTTTCTGCTCTTACTATTGGATGACGATGCAGTACATCAAATTTATTCAAGCAGCGACCGCGACTGTTGATGCATGTCTCTTCACTTATTTTTAGCGCTTTTCGGAAAGCCAATATAGGTGTTAGAATGTGAGATATTGTGAGCGTATCTAGGAATCTATGTATATTTGAAAGCATTTAAAATCACTAGCAATTAAAGATTTATATAGTAAGAATAAATAGTATGAAAACAGTTTGTATTCGAATCCGGTTAGAAACAATTCAGTTTCAACGTCCTATCGTATACAGTTCAGCACTGCTAAGAATGGTATTGTTAGTCAATCCTACAGCAGCTAAGACAGCTCCGCTTCCCAACAAGGAAGCGGTGTGTCCAAATCGTGCTGTGACTAAATTGCTAGCGTTTGTCCACAATCCCATCGCTGGATCATACAGTTCTGTACTACTGAAAGGATAAAGGTTAGATCCAACATACATATATTCACCAGTGACCAAAACCTTTCCATCGGCTAAGATGGATGCAGTATGGTATAATCTTGCAGCATTCATGCTACCAGCCTTTGTCCAATTTAACAGATTTTTAATTTCGATTTTATGTTCGTACATGAGAGAACACGCTTTCACAAATGCAAGCATTGCTGAAAAACAAATTGATGGGATTACTGAATTACGTGAATTTGATGTATCATATCCCTATTCATCTATAAATCCAAGATTAACATTAAGTTCATTTCCACCAACATTAGCATAAACGTTAGTTTTAAAAATTTCATGGTGTAATCGTAACATAATAAAACCATAGTCTTATTTTCTTGATTCCTTTTTGTTAACATTAGGTTTATATTTATATTAAATTCTTTTTTCAGTTCCAGATAGATCGATATCCTTTACTTTAAACAACATTATTGTTTTATTATTACAAGAATCAATATAAAGTTCCAGTTGATCGATTGATCGTCCTTATTCATTATTTTATGGTAAATGATGGATATAGAATAATTATTGATAAAACAACAGTAAGTTTGTTTTTTTTTAAATATATCAAGTTTTTTTTTTATAATACAAGACTGTTGAAGCATTAAATATGAAAAAAGATGATGATACTCTACGAATTGTTTATACCAAAACAATGGAGTTATTTTTAGTACCCATTGTAACGAAAATGGTTGTTAAAAGTTTTCGGCAAAAGTAAAAGAAAAATTCACGAATTTGATTGAACTTTTTAGGTTGATAATAAAGAATATACTGCATTATCCGAGTTGAACGTTCATTTAAATCCTCAACAGTAAATATTAGTTTAGATATTACCAAATTTAATTTTTTTGTTTTTTGTAGTTCAACTAATTCTTCACCAGTTGAAATTATGGCTATTGATACATTTGTTATAAAAGCGATGATGACAATCATGGAGCTCAATGAGTATTATGAAGAAAAAAAAAGTTAATACAGGGTGGATTTGGGCATGGGTTGATAGAAGATCAACTCACATCCTCTTAAAACATATCGATTTGTTTGTCTCATTTAAACTGTTTCGGTTTAAGTTAATCGTACTTCTAATTAGTAAATCAAACTTTTATAAAAAAAAAAAAATAATTCTGATTTATATATATTGCTTAGGTTAAGTTCCACCTTGGTCTTGTTCGAATTAGTAAGCATTGAATCTTCTTCATCATCAGTTAGAATTGTTTCTTCTGTTGATATTATATCATTTGATAATAAAGTTGAGTGTGTGTGTGGGTGTATGGCCGTGGGTATGGCTGTATCGCTGTGGATGTGAAATAAATTAAAAACATGACCCACACCCTCTCCACTGGCAACTGGAACTGCTATTTTTAAATATATGCAGAACGCAGAGTTTTAAGAAATTCCTTACTTATTATATGTAGGAAATTTTCTAAGGTACTAATTGACAAAAAAAATATTTTGTATCATTGCACTGTCTTGAAGTTGTACGATTTACAAGAGAGACAACTATGAAGAAAAGGACCTATTTTTTTAAATTGTTTTTCACCAACGAGAAATATATATCTTGATGATGGGCTTTGTGATAAATATCGACGAAAGTTGCTGCTATTGAATAAAATCGATTTCAAAATTTTCACACGAATTAATTGAACAAGAAATTGGAGAACATAAGAGAGCAACTGGATTTGTCAAATTACTCTGCATATAGAAAAGTACACCTGGTCGATTTGCTTATACTATTGGCCTACTGCAGATGCCAATACTCTATTTCAAAAGTTGTTTTATCATTGGCTCTTCTGGAATCGTTATGGTGAGTGAAGAATTAAAGTAACTGTTAATCATGTGTTCACTTATTTGTCTCCTTATGATAATTAGTGGTATTTTCCAGACTCCCTTACTTTCTAACTGATCACATAATTTCCAAGCAGCCTCTCTTATGAAATATTGAGATTAATAAAAATGTATTCATGAAAAGCATTGAGAATTATTTGTACGTTGAAATAATTATTAAAATTTTTCTTGAGTTAAGTATTAATAAGATTTTTAATTAATTCTAAAGACTACATCAGATAGTAAACAAAAACAAAAAAAAGGTAGTAAAAATTTATCTAGCACATTAAAGACATTGAAAGATTCTATTTCAATTGAAAAAAATTTTTTTTTTTAATCACCTTCATAACCTTTAAATGGCTTGTCTTTTATTTCATAAAAATTAAAACAAAAACAAAAAAAAACGGTACGCCAATTTTATAATGTAATGTTCTTATATTCTTCAAAAGCTTGTTTTAATCTTGCACATCCTTCTCTTAATTGTTCACAATCAACAATAGCAAAACAAAGACGAAGACAATTTGCTAATTGTGCTTTAGCTTCTTCATCATGTGCAAATAATCGTCCTGATTTAAATGTAACACCATATTTACGAGCAATACTTAATAATTGATCACAATCAACAGTTGTATCATTAAATTTTACCCAAAGAAAATAACCACCTGATGGACGTCGACAACTTATATATTTCTCTCCGAATGTTCTCATTAATTCATTATATAAAACTCTCATACGTTTTCCATATTCAATACATAATTTTTCATCAATAAATTGTTTTAATGAACCTTCAGCTAATATACGATCAACAATACCTGATATAAAAGGATTTGCACCTCCACCACTATGTATTAAACCATAATGACCCATTGCAATAACATGTTCATGACTTGCACATACAAAACCTAAACGTAAAGCAGGTGTAAGAATTTTTGAAAATGAATGAAGTGCTATAACTGTTCCAGCAGCATGATAACTAGCAAATGATTTTGGATGTTCAATTAATTTTTCATCATTTTGTTCATTATCATTTTCATCTTTTTTTTCATAATCAAGAAAATGATAAGCTTCATCAGCTAAAATTAAAAAATGATATTTTAAACTTAATTGTACCAATTGTTCACGACGATGATGTGACATTGTAAAACCAGCCTAAAATAAATGATTAATATTTATATAAAAATTTTTTTTTTTATTTACAGGATTTTGGAATGTAGGTACAAGATAAATCATTTTTGGTTTAGCCCGTTCAAGTACTTCATTTATAAATTTGGAATCAATTATCAAACCATCATCATCGACTGTATAAGAAATTATATGTAAATGATGATCACGAAAAATTTGTAAAGCATATAAATATGTTGGACATTCAACAAGTATCGTATCACCTGCACGAAGAAACATTGTACAAATCTGATCGAGTATAGCTGAAATACCATTTGTTATAAATATGTTTTCATAACTTAATGTTGAAATAGCAGATGTTTGACGAAGTAAATTAACAATATGATGACGTAATTCCATATTACCTTCATCTGGTGCATAAGCCCAATATGTTCGTTCATGTTTACCTTTTTCATCAGTTAAAATTTCCTGTGATGCTTTTGATATAAGATCAAATGGTATCATAGTTTCATCTGGTTCTCCTCTATGAAGTTGAATTGTAGTTGTATCAGACTGATTTTCATTTCTATTTTCCAAACCAATATCCATTGTTTTTCTTTTATCTAAAGATGAATTAAATTCTAAAGATAAATAAAATAAAATAAAGATAAATATTGATGTTTCCTATATATGTATGTTTTGTTTTTTATTTTATCATTTCGTAAAGAAAAACAAAAAATTTAATGGAATCTTTTTTTTTTTCTTCTATCGTGATTATGAATGATATTTAATCGAGTTTCTTAAAACCAATATCACTTGAATATTGGCGAAAGCATTGACGACAAATCATCAAACCATACTAAAGATAATATAAATTTAGATCATATTTTCAAAAAAAAAACTAAAAGAAAGTACATTTACCTTGCGAATAATTCCATGACCATTTGAACATACACGGCACATACGACTGCCGGGACCATATTTATGTGGATGTGAACGAAAGATTGATGAATGACCCATGGTGTATCGATATTGATAAATTTATCGTGATGGATCTAAAAGAAATCGCAAAAAATATCGATAAACATTTAATAAAATAATGTTTATTGTTATTTTTACGTTGGTCTCATCTATTTATCCAGATTTTACTATTCCAAATCACCTCCTGATATATGACTATGTTTTATTTAACGAAAGATGTCATTTATATCGTAAATTACGATTGGTTTAAATGTTCGATTTCGAAATAAAGAAGAAATTCTTCTTTTTTTTTTTTTTACTTTTTAATCGTAACAAAGAATGATGGAAAAAAAAAGAGAAATCTATTTTTTTTTAATTCTCTGCTGATAATTAATGAAAGATAATGAAGCGATTCTGACTTTGTTATGATTGAATAGATATTCATTGTATTTATTTTTCAGATATTTTTGTATTAACCATCGAATTAATATCAAACAATTAAAAATGGTACGAAAAATTTATTTAAAAAAAAAATTCTTTATCTTTTTCTTTAGCCGACACAAGGAAAAAGTAGTAAAATGTTACAACATATTAATTATCGTATGTATTTATTTTTTTATTTTCATTTGATATTTTTATTTGTTTTTGATAGGTATGCGATGTACTCTACAAGATGGACGTCAGCTTATTGGAACATTTAAAGCTTTTGATAAACATATGAATCTCATTTTAGCTGATTGTGAAGAATTTCGTAAAGTACGAAGTAAAACTGATAAAGCTGAACGTGAAGAACAACGACCATTAGGTTTAATTTTATTACGTGGTGAACATCTTGTTTCAATGACAGTTGAAGGACCACCACCAAAAGAGGTTTGTAATAAACTTTCCTCTAGAAATGAACTGAACCTATTCGAGAAAGTTTTTCTGATCTCATCATTCCTATCAGATAGATATTATTTTCACAATATCTTATTTAAATTTTGGCTAGTAGAATATCACATTGATGAGATCATATTCTGTGTTTTCTTACGTGGAATATACAGTCTACTTATGTCTTAAATTTTTGGTTAATTCAAGTCTTTTAATCAAATGTAATACATTTCTAATGTTTGTTTATAGGAAGTTGGTATTGCTCGTGTACCAACAAATGCAGCTGCAGCTGCAGCACAAGGTGCTGGTCGTGCAGCTGGACGTGGTATGTTTAATTTTTCTTTTAACTATGAATATAAATGATAAATTTTATTGTTTATAGGTGTTATACCACCTGTACCTGGTGCACCGAGCTTTGCAGCTCCCGGTCTTCAAGGACCAGTACGTGGTATTGGTGGACCTGGTTTTAATCAAATGGCGCCTACTGGACGTGGCTTGCCACCTGGAATGAGAATGCCACCTATCCCAATGCCACCGGGAATGCGTAAATTCTTTTGAAATTATGTTTAACTTAACTTTCTTTTGTATATTTTAGGTCCACCGGGCATGTAGCTTCAAAAAATCTTGTCTGTTTTTTTATTATATTTTCTGTTTTTTTTTTTTTTTCATTTGTTTTGTTCTATGATCATTCGTTTTGTAACACATAATAAAAACAAAAAAAAAATAAAACTCAATGAGTATTCTGTACTTCATTATGTTGGGAGAAAAAACTTCTTGAGATAGGGAAAAGATTGTCAACAAAATGTTTTCAAATAAATTAATTACGCCAGAATAAACATGACTAATATTTCACAAGTAGCGCTCATCTTACGGATTTGCTGAAACTATTCTGAATGAGAGAAATAATATTTTAAGCATTGTCATTATTATTATTTGATCGTTAATATTGTCAGTCATTGCACATGAAAAGTTATATTAGGTTGACATTTTCCTGCAAGATTTTCTCCAATCTGAAACTGCAAATCCAGATCTGGGCTAGTCTTGGCTTATGAATCTTTCTTCTTATGTGTTTGTTTCTTATAAAAATTCACGTTGCCGTTCTGCAAAGGTTATCTTATAAATTCCTGATGAAAATATTTTCTTCACTTTGAATACACCTTTCGGCATTTCTATCAAAATAAGAAGGTACAAAACTTAATCGAAAACCTTGAGTTAAAACTAATTGATATAGACAATGAAAATCAAGCTGACTAAAGTAGTTTTCAAACAGTGTTCCATGCAACTTGTCGTTGTAGTGCATGAAAGGTTATGAACATTGGAAAATTGAAATTCCATTTGCATTCTTATTATACCTAGCATATTGAGTTATACTACATTTCTCTCTTACTCAAACACCACTGAATTCATCCATCATTCTAAACTTGGTAAAATTAGTTCTTTCATACTATTAGGATTGAATTAAACCTACTCTCAAAAGTCGCCATGATTAGGTCCGTCGGTGGTTATCATTCTTCTTCTGAATTGTTCTCTTTCGACTAGAATGATTGTCATTTCTCGATCTTATGATTATAGTTTGAGTGTGACTTTAAATTCAATTGATTTTTCTTTGAAATTCATATTTTGTTGAAATTACTTCTTAATCAAAATTCGAAGACAGAGATGTCATAATATTCATACACTGGGTTATCGACGAGCTACAAGTCATGATATCGAGCAAACCAGATATCCATATATCTGTAAACTTGAGCATTCATCCCGTTACAGTATACTCATTCAAAATTAGTAATTTAACGGCATATGGGTACCGCGAATGTATTAAGTGAATATCGTAATAGACATGTTGTGAATCTCGATATCCGAGTTACGCATATTATGATATCCTTCCTTAATCCACACTGTCCATTGTATAAGAAAAATGCTACTTTTTTCCCTCGATACGATTTTTACACTTCCAAACTTTATTTGTTGTTCAAGATGAATATATTATAAACAGTGGCGGATCTAGGATTTTTAAAAACGTTATATCTTACGTTCAGAGCATGGGATCCACATGAAACTTATGTAGGATGATATTGGACCCCAATGAAAGGTTTTTACGAAAAAAATCTTTCGATCGAAGTTTGCGAAAAAAATTTCGTTTTTAAAATCGCCGCCCCCTCAAATTTTTTTTGTTTTTAGCGATAATCTATTGTTAAGAATTTCATCGTAATCTACATCGAATTTCATCGACAGATTCCAAATTTCATGTAAAAATATGCATCTGTTCAGAAGTTATAACGTTTTGAACCTTTGTTCCGTTTTTTGGGGCATGTTTCAAAAATTGAAAACGTTATAACTCCTGAACGGATGCATATTTTTACATGAAATTTGGAATCTGTCGATGAAATTCGATGTAGATTACGATGAAATTCTTAACAACAGATTATCACTAAAAACAAAAATATTTGAGGGGGCGGCGATTTTAAAAACGAAATTTTTTTCGCAAACTTCGATCGAAAAATTTTTTTCGTAAAAACCTTCCATTGGGGTCCAATATCATCCTACATAAGTTTCATGTGGATCCCATGCTCTGAACGTGAGATGTAACGTTTTTAAAAATCCTAGATCCGCCACTGATTATAAAATGTGACGGACTCCATACTTTCTTGCTAAATATAATATATTTAAAAATAAATGAGTTATGGTAGTAAGAACGAATCGGAGAAAATTTAATTGACTCCATTGTATGATTCACGGGATTATGATCCTATTTAATAGAGAAAATGAAGCTCTTTCGATATGTGCTCAACTGAAACTTATACCGTAGGAGAGTGCAAAGCATTTTCCCTACATTATCCTCGATCAGTTAAATCATATTCTGCCATTCCTCATTGACCATAATATAAAAAAACCCTGAACAAATGACGAACGATCGTCGTCGTCATCGCATGGCCTATTCAAAAATAGCTGAAGATTATTTTAGTGATTCCGCTCTTGTTAAGAAAATATTCATCACTTACTGATAGCATTAGTGAGTAGATTGTGCTAGGTATAGATTGAAAGATTTTTATTTTCTGTATTCAATCGATACTATTTTTAACATTCAATACTTAAAAAACGACTTAGATTATTATTTAATTAAACTAAATCAGTACGTCTAAGATAAACCAAGAATTTTTAATTGTTGATAACAAATGCAATTTGAAAAATCAATCTAAAAATCAATCAAGTACATCACATTTTCAAAGAAATAACAATTTTCTAAATGTAAACAAACGATTTTATAATCAGTTAAGTTATTTCAGATTGATTTTTAATTTATTTTTAGGTTCATCATCAAAAGATTTCGATGTAACGAGTATCTGATCAATTATCGATTTGTCAATCATCATTGAAAAATAATTCAAGAAAAATAATTAGTGATATTGTTGCTGTTGATAATAAAGAAGTATTTATCAAGCAGCAAATAATACTCATGGTATTCATGGAAATATTAGTAATCTAACAAGTGATAGTGGACGTACATCACAAGTAACTTGAACATTACAAAATCCATTTACAGAAACATCATCTGACGGTTGAAGTTCAAGTGGATTTCGATCACGCTCATCTGTTCTTATTCCAGCATTTACACTATATGATATAGCTAGTGATAATACAAATAATGGTCTTGATCATTTATTAGATAGTGGTAAAGATTGTATGTTTCTAACAGATTCGTTATTTGATGCATTAGTGAACATTCTTAAAAGTATGCATGAAACAGATCTTGACTTACGTTGTACGTACCGGTAATGATA